TACTCAGGGTGACAGCTTGAGGCTCTGTCTCAAAAAAAAAAAAAGAAGGCACTAAGCCATAAGAAAAAAAAACTGCATTAAGATTAAGAGCCTCTTTATACCAAAAATACTATTAGATTGAAAAGGCAGGCCACAGGGCCCAGAGCAGTGGCTAATGCCAGTAATCCTAGCACTCTGGGAGGCCGAGGCAAAAAGGATTGCTTGAGCCCAAGAGTTTGAGGTTGCTGTTGTCTATGACACCACAGCACTCTACCCAGGTCTATGAAGTTAAGACTTCCTCTCAAAAAAATAAAGAAGAAAGGAAAGGTAAGCCACGGAGTAGGAGCCTACTTGTCAGATAGATAGGTCGATAAGTAGATAGATCAGATAAAGATCCTACATCCATCCAGACCATATAAATAGCTTCAAAAACAGAAAGGCAGACAACCCAGTAGAAAAATGGGTGAAAGGCTTGACTGGGCACTGTGCAAAAAGCTGTCTAACTTTCCAATAAATGTGAAAAGGTGGTCTTCATTATTTTTAAGAAAAGTACAAATCAAAACTTTTAACACACTAAGAGTATAAATAGACCTACCAGAATGTCTAAAATTTCAAAAAGCAACTATACCAAATGTTGGGCCCATCATCGTTTATAATAATATAAAAACAATAGAGTGGATAAATAAATTGTAGTCAACAATATAATGGAATACTACTGTAAGGTAATGAAAGCAAACAACTGCAGTCATCTACACATGACAGTATAGATGACGCTCACAAGTATAGCTGAGATACCAGACATGATGCAGTACACACAGAATGGTTCTCTTGATGTAAGGTTGAAAAATTAAACAGAACCAAACTACAGTGAATGGAATCTTCATGTTTACGTGATACAATCATAAAGAAAATTAAGGAAATGAGGTGGTTGGGTAGGCAGGGAGGGTTCCCAGGTGGTAGAAGTTGAGGATTTGTTTTTTTGTTTTTCAAAAAAAATAAAAGGAAAAGAAAATTAAGGAAATAATCATAAAAACCAGAATTATAATTAGCTTTATAGAGGGATTAAGGGTATGTTGAAT